TTTATATTATATATCCACATGATACACACACACACGTACACACACACACACACACACACACACATATATATATATATATATATATGTGTGTGTGTGTGTATGTATGTATGTTTATCTATCCATATATATATATATATAATTCAATTATGATTATGATTATGTACAAATATACATTTCATACTACGCATTGATTTACAAATGAATTTATTAGTATGAGTTGTGTATAAATAAGGTCCATCTTGAATGATCTGGTTGTCAGTAGACCTTAAATGGACTCAGTATACTTTAACGGTATATTTGACCCCAGATATGTGCCTGGACATCCTTTAAAACAGTGGCTGCAAATGGGTATATTTTCCCAGTATCCCTTCTTTTCGCACGCTTATGACTTCACTGTTCGCCGCTCATTACAGATGCGATACCCTTGCTGTACGTCCACGTGTGCACTCTGCATTGAAGACTATTAAGCAGCGCAAATGTTACTCTCACACTCTGACGACTGGCCCGGGTGTGAATGAGCCGACTGTGGTCTCGGGTACTAGGTATGCGACGGGGGATCTCACACTATTTTGCAGTATGTATAAAATGTACTATGATGTATTTAGATCTTGCATTTATATATATATATATATATACATATATGAATATATATATATAGGATTAGGTATGTATATGATGGTGGAGTCTATGTGTTTCGATACTTGGGTGTACAATTATGTGTAAATGATCGACATGAATATCTGCATGCGAGCAATTACAAGGTAGGTGACATATTGTATACTTTATTTATTTATGTATAAGTTCGTATTTTACAGTCAGTCTATGTGTTTCGATACGAGCATTTGTGTAGAAATGATAAGCATGAACATCCTGCATGCTAGGTTACGACACATATGTCGTAATGCAATGCTCGTAGATGCGTTCTGAATCAATAGAGGTTTATTATACTATGTGACGCTTCGAGACCCTACGCAAATAACCAATAGGCCCGAATGTCTGAATATGAGCAAATAAATTACCCCTATGTTTATACGCTTTCGGCCCCTGCAGCTTCTCAGCCGCGTTTTATTATACTATGTGACGCTTCCTGTGCGCGTCGTACTGTAACCACAATATTAATTCCCAGCTGTCGACAAACGCCTCATCACTCATCACTTAAATGCGTCCTGATGCACTCAAAAGCCAAGAATAGAGAGATAGAAGACTATATATATATATATATATATATATATATATATATATATATATATATATATATATAGATGGATGATCAGTATAATTGATATACTGGGATGTTTGCTTCATATCTACTAGTTCATGATACAATAAGATCATGCATAGCGTGATGCACATTCACTCAACTACATTCCTGCATGTCACTCGCATACGGCTAATGACTGCACTTCTGTCACTACCATACACCATATAGTGCTACTTCAAAATGTAGTAGCTATCGTCACGTATATGGATTTGATTGCAAACTATATCTGATCGGGCCCAATTTCTCATGGCATGAATACCCTTCACAAAGCACAAGTAGTGTCTTGAGCAACAGACAACGGCACACACAATGGCCCAGTTTGTATTATAGCGCTACCTGCAACGCAATACACTAGCAAAAATGTGCATGTATTGGCATTTAGTCAGATCACTTATTTGAACAGACGAGGACCAACCAATAAATTGCACATGCATAAACAGGAAGAACACACTTCCAATCCGTTGTTTTATCGCGTCGTTGATGGAGGATAATGTCTCGTGATTCGGATACTGACAATTGCAGTCTGATTGGCATTGGCAAACTAGTCTGCTTGCAGATGTGAGTCTCCGTTTGATCAAAACCTGAATAATTTTAATACAAACCCATAATAACTACTACTTCAAAATAATCGGTAGTTTTGTGCCTTAATTACAATGAACGTGCCTAGTCTTGACACAGGCACCCTTCATGCACTGCTTGGATAACGTACTTAATAAATGTCTGTTCTTGTTGGTCCTGATCCTTTCTAGTATTTATGAATATCTATCCAACGATTATTCTGATCGTCGAATATGACTATCTGGGTATGAGGCACACATTCAGTCTTTGCGGACATGCCGGTCAACTACCTTTCTGACCACTCGAGTATGTGTTCTCAGGTATGAGAGGCTTACCCATGTTCTACGCCTATCCCATCCAACTACTATTCTAATTTCCAGTACTGTGTTGCCAGGTATGAAGAGCACGTCCAGGCTGTGCTGCACCGTTACATGTTCGACCTCGATCGCGTGGGAGGGGCTAACGACAAAGGCGCTGATCTCGCTGGATCATGGCACCTGCCAAGTGATGCATACGAGGTATGTGATCTATACTTTAGGGTGTGGAGCGGTTCGAAATTGTCCACGTTGAAGTAGAAACCGAGCCTACATTTGAATGAAAGTGTTATTCTGAAGGTATATAATGTACCACAATTTTCAATGGTATTGGGGTGCAGCTTCAGCGTGCGTGTTTTAGAGATTGTCCATAAGAAGGTGCATGTGGTATTAACTCTGAGTGTAGTTCCGGCTATCTTTACATATAAACTGACCATATATTTCTCAGCGTCAGCTTAAGGTTAGCAAACTATCTGCCCCAGCCAATACTTTAGGCTTAGCTGATGTATAGTGTAAGAGCCGAGGAGTGTACGAGAAAGTAGCCGAACGAGCCTTTATACACGTACAGGGCACCATTTATTCAAAGGTGTCTGTACGGCTCAGTACATATCTATCGGCAGCTATATGAATATGCAACGACCGACAGCATTCAAATGGTTCTGTACAAATGAGCCTGAAAATTATACCGAGTGCTGCTAGCAGCTTCACTTTAGTAGCAAATATTGTCCATACCAATAGCTTGATATCCGTCTACCGAGAACATGTCCCTCGCCTCTCACACTCATACCACCAAGCGCTGGAACACCCACACTTTGCAGAACAGAACGGATAACCAGTCATCACTTGATAAAAACACGCGTGTAATGGTACAATGCAAGAACTACAAGAAGAAGTTAGGTCCAGTGCACGTTCGCGAAATCGAAGGAGCTTTAGGAGGACGCGCACAGAAGACTGTTGGATTATTGGTGACGCCGAAAGGTTTCTCACCAATGTGCATATCGAGAAGCGACTCGTCCGCATACCCCTTGGCTCTCATTGTGGTATGACAAGCGTCCGTATATATATATAACACATATACATATACATATACATATATATAAATATATATATATATATGTATGTACTTCCATAAATACATGAATATATATATATATATATCTATATATAATCTATGTGTGTGTTTGTGTGTTTGTGTGTGTTTGTATACATTCTGTAGATGCGTGGTTGTAAGTGACTGCTGGGGTGTTTTAGAAGGACAACCACGCTGCGCTGAAGGATCGATTACAATAAACTACGCTTCTTAGACATAAACACTCGCACTCTGTCGCCGTCCGATTGTCGACAGGTTAGCGAATTACACGATATCGTCAGTATACACACCAATGCATCACTGAGGACTCTGTTACCTACAATAACGATTGGCACAAAGTAAGTCTACTCATGCAATTGTCTCTGTATTGCGCGGCGTCCTCGCAGTGTTATGTATGTATGCCTCCATGTATATACCTATTTTATATGTATGTATGTATATATATTCATACATACAAAGGTATGCACATCCCTGTAATTGTCCACTTGGTTGGTCTTCATTATGCCATGGATTAGAAACCATATGTTCGTTGTATCAACGTCGTCATAAAAATTTAAAATTGCTTGACCATTAGATGAATGTTATCTTGGCTCGAGTGTAAAATCTAATCACCATTTGACAAATATAACGAGCGAAAGGGCTTTCTCACGTGTAATATACAATGCAGGCACGAGGTGATAGACCATACAAGGGTACGAATACCAGTTATATTGCACCGATCGCGAGAGAATGGGATGGTTACGATCAAGGGAAAGTATCTCCCACAGCGCTGTGATGGATAAGATTAATCCAGATTGACTATACATACGGGACCTACATAAAGCCGGCGGAAATGGCAGTATGGAAGGATATACTTCCATGTACACAGTAGATACATAAGATCCAGGAACACGCATTTGAGGTCTAGCGAACACTGCCATGGGAGAGGCTAGACTGTTTTTCATCAGAACTTTTGGACCAATATATTTACAAAGCAACGAGTGCATGGAGGGTAGGTCAATAGTATCTAGTTCATTGCTGCACTACAATATGAAAAATGATCCTTTTTATGAAGTTCCCTCGCTTTCCCTGAACAGATCTCGAATAAACTTCCGCTTGAGATAATCAACTCACCACAACTCGGACACTAAATGATCTATAGCTGGCGAGAAAGAGAGTCAGGACTCTTTCGAGGGGTTTCTCATTCTATATCTCTTGTGTTGTGTGTGGATGCTCTGGATAGTGAAGTGTAATGTTGTGTGTACACAGCCCTCAAAAGCAATATAAATTAAATACATGAGTGACGAGGCAGCTGTGGTTTCTGTTGTGGTTTGAGTGGTACAGAATCGGGTTTCTGTTATTGGCTCTCTCTCCTTCCCTCACCTCTGCCTCACTTCATGTAAAAAATATATAAAAAGTGTATTTTGTAACATTTCTTTTTTGTTTGATAAACCTTTTGAAAATTGAACAATAAACGTTAAAAAAAATCAGAAGGCTATGGCATATTATTAAAAAAAGCCCCCCTTTGTGTCCTTCTCTAACCATGGTAACTCATGGTGATCAGGTTCGTCCTTGTTAAAGGTTACCATGGTTAGAGAAGGTACAACGTATTTTTATCGTTGTATATCCTTGCTTGCGAGAAATACGCAATATAGCCTTATTAAAAAGGTAAAAGCGTTGGAACACTACCAAGAAGATAGCAGAGTATCAGGTCGGTGACAGAGTTAACATCCGTCAACGTAATTTCGATGCTACTGTATTAACATCTAAATGGATAGGTCCATATATAATCTCTGTAGCAGACACTAAAAGTGGAACATACGAGGTAAATAACCCCGATGGTTCTAGTGCTCTTAATATAGGCACAAGTCGTATTCCTACTACAGAGATTGTACTCGCAAGAAGACATGACTCGAATGCCCCTCTTGATTGTTCTGAATTTAAAGACATCATATGGAGAACGGATAAGGGAGGCTATACATACTATCGTACACGCTTTATAGACGGTACAATAGCTGAGTTGACTTCAGATGCTTTCGATAATCAAGACTATTTAAAATCCTTTAATCGAAAATGGCGTAAACGCCTGCATAAGTCACAAGCTGAAAAAGATGGCAATCAATGACCCTGCGCCATGGAACATCTTCAGTCACACTTTTAAGCGGTGCGAACCCATGGCGCTTGATCTGATTGCGATCACAGTCTGTACATGACTGATATACTTTGTCAACTAAAGTTGCCAGCTTAGGGTGCGCGATCCCATTTCACTTCGCATCTTTAAGTGCATCTACTATGTTCTGGTGCTTCAGCTTATGGTTTTGCGTCAGCCAAGCAAGAATGTTTTCATCATTCTGCTCCTCCAGAATAAAGGTAGGGTGTTGAGAATCCACTTGCGTGGTCTCTAAGTCTGTAGTGTTTTCAGATTCCTGTCCTGCTTTCGCATGAGTGTCATAAGTGCGCTCATGTGCGCTAGATACACATGACTTATTAAATAGTCGCATTATATGTGTATACGCTTCAGGATTGTCTTTCATTAATCCCTTTAGAAATAGGGTTTGAAAGAACTCGAGCTTGGACTTTATGTTATTAAACAGAGTTCTACCTAGCTAGAGACTGACACTTCTTAACAGTAGTGTCATTAGTAGATTGTATTTCTTGTGCACAGACTTCAAGTGCAGTGTTGCCTTTGAACTGCTTAACGTTCAGTTGGGTAGAGAGTGGAACCTCTGATTCTTTGACATTGTTAAGGAAGGTCTCAGAAGGGGTCCATTTGGTTGTTCCAATGGGACCTATACGACATATTATAGTATGTCTCCAGAGCGTCTTCTGGACGGCTCGGGTACCCTGATATAGGACAGTATTTACTTCCCTATCTAAATATATTGGCTCGCATTGTATCATGCTTATTAGTTTATTGAGCCATGGATCTTTACTCCGTAATGGGCAACACAACGTGATGGTAGCTTTATGAATATGAACATAATTTAATAGCTGGGCAATTAACTGCCATGGTGGATTAGCCCACGCATTATGTTTGGAGAGGTCTATTTGAAAGGCGTCTCCCAAAGGATGATTTAAAGTCCTGTAATTCGATAGTTGTGCATAATGATGTGCAGCAAACATATCTATGGTATGTGGCCCAAATATCTTTTGAGCCAGTTCAAACCACCTGGGATTACATTTCCATTCAATGGCTAGTAACTCACGTACGGATTTATTAAAGTCCGGTACGAAGCGTGATAGCATATCCGGTAAATGGTTATGTATTCCTGGCAGATGTTTTATATCAAAAGGAAACTTTGATATTGTATCATGCCAGCGACTCAGTAATTGTGAGTCGGGGTTCACCTCTTTAACAAATTGAAGAGATTTCTGATCACACATCAGCGTAAATACTGTTCCGTATATATAATCTCGGAAGTGTGTTAGAGCTGCCACTATGGCCAATAGCTTTTGTTTAACAGTTGGGTAATTCAACTGTGAAGCATTCATTGCTCGACTAAAGAATTGTATATATCTAAGTTTGTTATCTATCCTGATATAATACTCCTCCTAAGGCTAAGTCGGAGGCGTCCGTTGCTATTTCAAACGGCACGCCATCGACTGGTCCTTGTACAACAGGGGCTTGTTGGACTGCGTGCTTGAGCGCTTTAAATGCGTCATCACACTCTTTAGTCCACAAGTCTCCTAGTTTGCCTTTATGACATCTTAAGTGTCCAAAAGGTTAAGGTAATCAGCCAAGTGCGGTACTCCATCTGAAAAAAAGTTTACAAACCCACACATGCTGTTAACATATCTTCATGTAGTTGGTGTTCGCCAATCTAACAGGTGTTCTACCTTACCGGGGTCGATTTTAATACCTTCCCCAGATATTCGGTAGCCTAAGAGCTGTATTTCGCTCATGGCGAAGTGACATTTCTTCTCGTTAATCTTGAAGTTTTGTTCGTTGCGTCTCTTAAGGACTCGTCTGACTAATGCGGCGTGTTCGCCCTTAGTTTTAGAAAAGATGACTATGTCATCTATATAGACTTGTACGTTAGGCATGTGTGCAAACATTTCTTCCATTACTTGTTGGAAGAATGCTGGTAAAGAGTGTAACCCGAAAGGTACACCTCTGAACCTGTATTGCTTACCTTTCCACGTAAAGCTAAAGTATTTACGATGTGGTTCATATACCTGCATTTGATGGTATCCTTGTGTAAGGTCTATAGTTGTAAATACTGTAGCACCTTCCATCTATCACAGTAGCTCGTTAATACGAGGTAAGTGAAAGCTATGAGTCGGCAATAATTTATTTATTGGACTCATATCTAAACATACTCTGACTTTCCTAAACGATCCGTCAGAGTTATATTGGTCTACGGCTAGCAGTGCCAAGTTAACTGGCGTCTGTTGATAGTTAATTTCTATCACTCCATCTGCTAGCCATTTCTCAACTTGTTCTTTTACCACAGCCTCATGTCTCCAGGATACATAGTTCCTTGAGGGACACTTTAACTGTGTACAGTCCACCTTGGTTAAGTCAAGGCTGACATACCCGTCGTTAAAAAGGAATTTTGCCCAATCTGTGATCATTTTCTTTTTATTAACTAGAATCAGATCCATGATTTTGTTCGCAAAGTCAGGTATTAATGCCTTGACTGTGTCTGACGTAGGCTTATATGGATTCAGACAGTTATCGTCTGACTGATCCTTTAATGGATCTATGTTATTTCGTAGACCAGTTACGGTTATACCTAGAGTGAGTAAATCGCTCATTCCGACTATAATGTCGTACTTCTGTGACATCTTAACTATCACAGCTTGGGTAGTGATACTCCTATCATCGGCCAAGGAGATTTTAACATCTGTGGCAATGGTATCACACTTAGAAGTTTTATCATCAGCTAAAATGAGGTGATTTGTTTGTGGTCTCCTTTCGATATCTTTCATTATTGCAAAGCGATCGGATATACATGAAATTTCTGAACCAGGATCAATCAACGCAAGGATTTTATTACAGGGATTATTACACGCTCATCTAAAGAGTCGTTGTATTGCCTGTGTAATGATTGTACATGGTAGTCCCGTTACTCCAACTTAATGTTGGGCTTTCGGTCACAAGACTTAGTGTGATAACCATTGGTCTTCTCACACTTGTCACACTTAGTAAGAAAGTGTGTACAGGTGGATGCATGTCTACCATTCCAATGACCGTTAGGGGTTAACTGGTACATGTCATACCCACACTGTGCGTCGGCACATTTCTTAACCTCTTTAAATGGAGGTGCCTTGTCCTTCGCCTCCGCGAGTGCCCGTTTATTGGGTCGCGTGAATAGAGTGGAGTCGCGAGCACGTGTATGTTGGGGTCTCTCGTTTGAGGTCTACCTGGATACGTATCCGTGATCGGTGTGTTCCCGCGGCTTCTTAACAGCCACTTTTCCTTTCGATGTTACTCGGTGTGCGGGGAAAAGGGTGGATACAGTATCATAAAACTGTTCCCACGTAAGTCAGGATAGATAAAACTTTGTTTCATGTCCCTTGTCTCGAGTCTCAATCGCGTGTTTACGTCGCAACTCGGTGTACAGGCTCTCACGGTCGTTATTCCCTATGTTCTTACAGAACACGTGCACAGCCAGGAACTCGCACCATCGCTGTGCCTTGTCCTTTGTTTTATTTGGACGTTTCAGGTCAGCATCTAGCTTCAGAATATAACTCTGAATGAGCGTGTTCTCAACTGGTTCAGTTAAAATTAAACTCAGTCCTGGGCTACGCATGTCCTTACTTAACAAATGGAACCAACCAACACACAGCTGGCCAGTCACGACAAGTGTCTACCTCAGGTTGGTGTCGCTGCAGGATCAAATAACTTGTACCTGTAGGGTCAAACGTCTGCATTAAAACACAGATCCATTGCTGAGGAGCGATATCATTCGTCTCCAGCATGACCGTAAACGCAATAAGCGTACGGGTTAGCGTGTCGAGGCCATGGTTGTTTATAAAATCGACCTTCTTACTGTTGGCATCCCAATTCTTACTGTTGGCATCCCAATTCGACTTAAGTCGACTGATCTGTCCTTTGTACTTCCGGTTATCCATGTGGTCTTGTCCACGTTGGGCCTGAAGTAGCTGATCGATGCGCTTTTGCTTTATCGCAATCATATTAGCAAAATATGATACATCCTCAGCATGATGCGCATCGTGAGCGATTTCCATTTTAATGGTGTAATCGTCGACCGATTTGTTAAGTTCGGTCACCTCGTCAGAATGAAAATCCTCTGCGGGTTGATATAGTGCTGTGCGATCGAAGCAATTAAATTCGACATCGTTAACACGTTAACGGGGGCGTTTATTACCCCTTGTAAAGTCCATGGTCGAGGCCTTTCGGTGCTCTATTCCTCGGATAGTGGTTGGGACATCGGTTCTTAATTTCTCGTCTCGCCCAGTCGATCCATTGAATGTGAACATATAGCCGAGAACTAAGTTGTTAAATGTTGAACGACCACGAGGTCGATCAATGATATGTGCTGTGAGTGCTGATAGTGCACAAATATATGGGTCTAGAGATCCAAGAACAACTTGTCTATGTTATAGCCGGGCCTCCACATTAGACTCTATGCTATAAACGTACTCTTAAGCAGTATGTAAATTATAAACGTACTCTTAAGCAGTATGTAAATTATAAACGTACTCTTAACAGGGATAATAGGATTTATTTCAAAAATGGCAAGTATGTATGATACAATGTATGAACATATGGTATGGCTCTCATAGTCGCTGTAGTGGTTCCGGAAAGATTGATGGGAAGAAAC